TGAAGAGAGTTATTCCAAGCCAAGTGTGAGTGGCCTAGGATGCCATCCCCAGAAGTCTTGAGACCAAGTGTCTCGGGAGAGTCAAATTGCAGTTTGGCTACATACATTTTAGGGAGGCAGAAGTTACAAAAAACCATCAATCAATATATGTGAGATTTTCATTGGTTCAGCCCGGGAGGTGCGACATGTCCAAGCTAGGGCTTGCGTTACGGGTGGATTCAAGGTCTTCCCAACTGGCAATATGTACATTCTATCTAAAGAATTTTGGAAATCAGTAGAGATGTCTTTGAGATAAGAGGGTGGAAGAACTCCAAGTTTCCTGATATGTAGATGAAGTCCAGATAAGTATCTTACAAGGTGCCTGGAGTCTGGGAGTCCCTAAGAGACAACTTTGCAGGGTCATAAAATACTTTTTCTTCTTTATCTGTTGTATAATGTTATGATAGAGTTAAGTTGGCAAACAAACTTTGGTATATAGGATAATAAACCCTGTCTGATGATTCTTTGTCAACTGTGACTTCCCAAGCTTCTAAGTTAGGAATTTGGATGAGAAAAAAGGTTAGAATTTAATCCCCACCTAATATGGTTAACCCCCTCTACCGAGAGTCTTCCCCTGAATCTGATTCTGTATTTTCCTCCCTGGAAATCTCATCCACTCATGGAAAATGACTTCACACTTGGAAAGAAAACAGGATCTGAGGACCCCAAACTCACTATACCAAGGGGAAAGTTGAGTTTGGGAACTAAGCCACCCCCACAAAAAAATGCCTCCCTTTTGTTCCCAGATGGACGGCTGCCACAATGGAGGACTACATTGCCTCAGATGGCCTCCCTCACAAACTCAACAGCACTTTTTTACAAAATAGTGAAAAATGAATCACTTCATATTAAATAGCGTAATGTTGGAGCCAATTATTTTATTGTAATGATACTTGGCTTATAATGGAATTTTGGTCATTGAAGAACAAAAAAATAAAATTTTGTATCTTTTATTTTTCTAATGTGTGGTAATGTGTGAAACAGTCACTGCCACGCATTGCAGGTTCACTGATAGATGTTATGCAACAGTAATTTGTCTGACACCTTCCACCTGGTGTTTTTCTGAGCAGAAAATGCAGTCTTGTTTTCTTCCTCCCAAATTAATAATTAGTGATTTATTGTCCAGTCTGTCGTTCAAAGACAATGTAGAAGGACGCACTCATGATTCCTGAAAACCACTTCTCAACTGGCTGATCAGAAACCTTGACAAATTTCAAATGGGACAAATGTTTTTCATTGTTTCTGAATGGGCAACTTCAAGAAAACACACATTTTTTTTTAAATGTGCGCTTGTGCATGTTTGTCCTGTATAATCTCCAACAATCTCTTTATATACTGAGAGGGTACATCCAAGTGGCTTACTAGAATTGTGATGTACCCTCGGGAACATCCAAGTGCAAAGGGTGAAGCAATTAAAACACTTTCATCTCAAACAAATGAAACTTCTTTATCCTTCCACCTCAGCCTTCCAAGTAGCCAGAACTACAGGCATGTGCTACCACACCCAGC